AGGCTCCTGAATGTGCCATATATATAGTAGGCCCCCTTTATCTGTGCTTTCGCTTTATCTGCGTGTTTCGTTAAACATGGCCAACCATGGTCCATAAACATTAAATGTAAAATTCCAGAAATAAGCCATTCATAAGTTTTAAACTGTTCTGAGCAGCATGACAAAATCTCATGCTGTCCCGATCCATCTTGCCCGGGACATGAATTCTGGCTTACTCTCTCTCCTCTAGCTTATTCTCACTGACCCACCACCCCAACAGGTACCTGTTGACATCTATTCGTGAGCCTGTGTGAGACAGAGTCCTGAACGGTTTCTATCACCCCCCTCTCCATAGCCCCCGCCCCCCAAGGCAGTATCTCAAAGGTTTCAATACACGCTGTATAAAAATCAGCTCTGAATTATTCTTACCCTTATTTCAAAGCCCCACAAATCTCTCCACTTGTCTTTCCAACTGTTATGGATTTGTATTATGACAACATGTTAGATTTAGCATTAGTATTTTTTTAGTCATACCTTTTCCAGGCTGTGTTGAGCATTTGGGGGAATTTTGGGTTCTATGGAAGAGGTTCTCATTGGAGAAGAGTGTATACGGTAGTCTTCAGTGTAGGGCTGTGCTGGAGAATTCAACCAGGGAGGCCTCTGGGTCCTGTCCCTCACTTATCTAGGGCAGCTCTGCTTTTAACACACTGTAAGACTCCTTCCTTCCTTCCTTCCTTCCTTCCTTCCTTCCTTCCTTCCTTCCTTCCTTCCTTCCTTCCTCCCTCCCTCCCTCCCTCCCTCCCTCCCTCCCTCCCTTCCTTCCTTCCTTCCTTCCTTCCTTCCTTCCTTCCTTCCTTCCATGGGGTGAAAAGGTAGGGTAGACTATAAAAATCTCTAAAACCACTTGTCTACTATGATTTTTCTCTTGGTTTGAAACTCATTTTTGAGATCAGCTTCCTGTTTTACATACAACAGTCCACTTTTCTTTATAAAATGCAAAGATATTTTTCCGTGTCCCTGCTCTCCCAAATCATTGACAAATATGTTAAATAAGACTAATTTTGGCAATTCAATGTAAACATTTCAATTTAGAATTTAGCTCTCTAAATTAAAAAACTTATTGAGTACCACTCTACTTAAAGCAGCTCTATTCACTGTCCCAGGGCAAAACTGCCTTAATGGGCCATGTTGATTAAACATGGGCTTAGATACTTGCAACAATAGCTCCTTTAAATTTAAGAGCTTCGAAGAAGAGACGGAAATACAATGAACCACTTCAAGCCTAGATGAAAGGAAATGGCTGGCTTCTAAGGCCAGGCCCTGCCATAGGGTTCATTTACATTCTTTGCCTTTTTTCAAATTGTGCTAAGCCACAGCAGTCACCACTACTTGAAAAACTGGGGTCTAATTAACTCGAAGATTTGCCTTCTCTGCCAATTCCTGTCAACCTGCTTTCATTCATGGGGTCAGTAGTTAGACTCAAAGTCAGCTGACTCCATTCTTCCCCTTTCCTAGAAATCACATGCCTATTGTTAAGATGCTGGATCATTAAAAGTCAGAACCACGAAACATCAGGGATGCCTACTGTAGACGCCTCTTCCAGCTCATGAGGCTGGATGAGCTCATCCTAATTACACAGAAAACTGAAGGTCAGTGCATCAAATTAATGCAGCAGCATATTTCAAAGGGGCGTATGACCTCCCCTCCTTATTACAGTTTGGTCAGTGAAAATGGTTTTCTCCTCCCTGCTGCCAATATTGTCAACAGGCATTCAGCAGAGAACAATTGGGAGTATTGAAACATGTAATTAAGTACTGCTTAAAACTACTCTATTCTAATTAATGGAGCCAATTTGCACAATATGTAATCTTTTCAGTTCTTTAGTCCAGTCCAGTGGGCTTCAGTGAGCGGCTCTAATCTCCTCAGGCTCAGCAAAAGAAAGCTATTTTCTAACTCCACTCTCCTTTTAAGAGCAGGGGCTAAATGCCAACCAGTATTTTGCAAGTTAACTCCACTGGCGTCAAATCTGGGATTCTGGCAAACTGCTGGCTGCCGCTGGGTTTCCAGCCAAAACTCGACCAGGGACAAACGTAAGCAATATGCTGACATTGTGCAAGACGGAAACTGGGTGACATGTAAGATTTGGTTTTTAATAAAATGGAGGTAGTTTTGAAACCAAAGATCAGATGTACAAATCCATCATTTTTCTAAAGATACGGTTGAGCAAATCATCAGCCAAGGAGACACACCTTTGCATTTGTTCGTTGTCTTATCCAAAATTGCCTTCGTGGAGACTATTTTCCCATATCTAAAAGACAAAAAGGGGGGAAAAAGTTACAATCAAGGAACCCTTATTAATGTCCAGAGAACACACATACTTTTTAAACATCAGCAAATTTCAAAGTACAAAACGTTCTTTACTAGGGGACAAGAAATGAGAATCCTAAACTCAAAACTGAAGTTAAAAAAGGGATTGGCTGGTCCTCCTACTGGAATCTTTGGATTACAGTTTGATGTTTCGCTTTGAGGAGTGAGGTACTTACCTAACAATCCTGAGATTTTTAAAAAAAAGTGGACTGTAAGCTCTATAAAAAATAATTTCTGTCCTGGCTAGGTGGCTCAGTTGGTTGGAGTGTCGTCCCATACACCAAAAAGTTGTGGGTTTGATTCCTGGTCAGGGTACATACCCAGGTTGGAGGTTTAAGCTCCGGTCATGGTGCCTATAGGGGGCAACCAATCAATGTTTCTCTCGCATCACATTGATGTTTTTAATTTTTTGTTAATCCTCACCTGAGGATACGTTTTCCATTCAATTTTTAGAGAAAATGGAAGGGAGGTGGGAAGAGAGACACACACACACACACACACAAACACACACATTGTTGTGAGAGAGACACATCCATTGGTTGCCTCCCACATGCACCCAACCAAACTGGGGCCAGGGATTGAGCCTGCAACCCAGGTAGATACCCTTGACCAGAAACAAAACCAGGACCCTTCAGTCTACGGGCTGACACTCTAACTACTGAGCAAAACTGGCTAGGGCTCACATGGATGTTTTCTCTCTCTTTCTTCCCCCCCCCCTAAAATAAACAAATGAACAAACAAACAAACATACAAATTGTTCTAGTAACACTAGTATGTCCGTGGTCAAATACAAAGCCCAATGCAAGGCTACTGAATTATTAAAGGAAAATACTATGATCCACACAACCTTTAAAACTGATCCTGAGGGGAAAATGCCGGCACTGTACCCATTCATTTAGGTTTTGCAAACAGCACTACACAGCTCTAGATCATCACAGAAAGGTGCGTTTGCATGTGTTTAACACATCTGATGAATTTAACACAGCTCTTTTTATACCTAAGATTTTGATAACTATTCATAAATAGTTCATTCACATTTCTTTTAACTCAGTAATAATAATATATCGCTAACATGCATTGTATGCATGCAAGAAATGGACAAGAATAGAAAACAATGGATGAGAAATTAAGCATTAATTGTATAAGATTTTTTTTATGAGAATGTGTTCAAATTCATTAATGTAAAATGGAAGTTGGGGGAAGAAGGAAAAAACTCAGAACATTAAAATTTAGTCCACTGCTACTGAAAATGAAATGGTAGTATTGTTGAAATGTATGTACTAATTCTACACCCTTTCAGAGTGACCAGACCACAACGTAAAGCATTGCTACCTATGTTTGTCTTCTAGAAATTGAGAAAAGAAAGCTTTAAAAATAGTTCTTAAAAGTTATTGGACTTTGGGTAATGTACATAATTTACTTCATGTATCTGAGACTCACTTCCTCATTTATACAGGGTAAATTCCAAAATTTTACTTCTCTTTATATAAACTTTAAGAGTTTCACATTTTCTCTAATATTGCTTTCTCATGATTGATTTTGAGGATTAAAAAGACTCCTAAAAGTTTTAGAAAATAAAAAGTATCTGTGTAAAGCATTTTAAAGCATTTTGAGTGTTGTAGGTTCCTATTTTATGCACCGAAGAAGCTGAAATTCATTTATCTAGACAAAACAAGTGGCTTGAGCCACCTCTCTCCCTCAGTTAAATTTCACTCTGTGTAATCAGGTAATCAAATGATTACTTAGTAGGCATGAAAGTAAAGGTAATTTAAGGTTCAAATGACAATTACATCTAAGGGGCATAATGCTGCACAAACACCTTTAATTCCCCGTAGAGATTCTGAGTATTAATAACAACCTTAACACAGGTCACTGAGCTTACAAAAAAAATAATTTAAAAAAATCTGCAAACCAGAAAAAACCCCACATGATTTAAAGACCACCTTTTAGCAATCATTTATCTCCCTAGGTTACTTACATGCTTAATATTTACCTGCATCCTGTCACTTGTACAAGTTTTAGCTAAAATGTTCTCAGATTGTGTCCTTGCCTTTTACCTTTCCAGAAGTAAGGAAGAGGGTTGGTATAACTCCAATTTAGGATAAGGGGTTTGAGAATCACAGAGATTAAGAGACTTTACTTGAGGTTGCAGAGTACATGGTCTTTTGTGAACCAAAAAGAAAAAAAAAGAAATTTAGAGAAGGTCAGAGGCTGGCCTTCTATCTTCTGGTTCTGCTCTACCCACTAACAATGGAAAAGATGAAGACATGGAGGAAGGGAATGTGGGAAGCGGAAGAGAAAGGACCCTTGGGAGCACTGATGCTCAATCCATGCCACTCCCTTCTGGTTTGGGTTCTCTGATCTCTTTGCTACATTTGACATTACTCTTCACTTCCACATCTAAGGGACCAGTACCTTTCTCTGCCTCTGCCTTCTCCTGGGACCTCACTCACCTCTGGGCCCTTCTTTCAGTGGTTCTTGGTTCATTCAGCTTCCTCCTCTCCCTCCTTAACCAAATACTTTCATCATGTTTCCTATTTCAGTCCTCAACCCTTCCTAATCCTAGGAAATTCATACATCTTTGTGGAAAATGTCAATTTTTCCTTACTAACCACCACCCCTCCTACGATATTTTTCAAATACCATCAAAGTGCGTGCTCCCTTTGGCAGCACATATACTAAAACTGGAAGGATACTGGTAAGGTTAGCATGGCCCCTGTGCAAGTGAAGCGTTCCATATTTGCAAAAAGAAAGTCCCATCAAAGTTTCAGTTTTTGTCTCTTCCTCTTTTAACTTAAATATCTGAATATCTTATTAAGATAATTAAATATCCAGTTAAATTTCACCTCATTCCCACTATTTTCTAAATCCCATCCCAAAGAACCCCAAACATCTTTTCTTATCTCCCCTTTTCTCATTTGATAGCGAGATATCATCTATTAGACATTCCTGAATCCAGGCAGTCAACAACCCTTCTGGGTTTTGTCTCCGACATATGTCTAATATTAGCTCCTTCCCTTCACTGTGCCTAGATGTCTGCAAAGAGCACATGATAGTTTTCCTTGCCTCCAGCCTCTAGTCCTTCCAACCCTGTCTGCTGTATTCATTTACATTAAACATGTCCCTCATTCCACCCATGCTTAAATTTGAAGGACCAGTTCAAACACTGTCCTTCTATGAATCCATCCCATATCTCCTCAACCACTTCGTTGGCCATTTTATAGGAAACCAGAAAGAGGGTTATATTTACTCAGTTCTAAGTTGTAGGCACAGTGTATGTATGATCTTACTTAAAGAACTTCACAGCAATCTTATGAGGTAGGTGCTGTTACTCCCACTTTTGCAAATAGGAAAAGAAATGCTCATAAATGTTTTGAATCTAAGACCTTGCCTATAAACCACAAAACTCAAAAACGAATTGTGTTTAAATTCTCACTGTAACTTATCGATAACATAATTTTGAGAAACAACGTTTTCTTTATACAGAGTATGAAAGGAGAGGAACAAAATGAAATCTTCCACTGCAATATTGGAATAGATTTATTTTCCATGTTGTTTTTGTTTAAAACATGAGAAATAGACATGTAGTAGATGGTTGAAAGAGGGATAAATATGTGTGTGTGTGTGTCGGGGGGAGGTGGAGGAGAGCATAGGAAGAGTTCAGAAATGTATCAGTTTTACTTCCTACTGTGGTTTTCATCACCATCTGTGGTTTAAGACTGAAAGACCATGACTACCCAGAAAGTCAGAAGACAGTTTTCACTCTGAGGAACGTTTGCATACTGGCCTCCCTGCAATCTGATGGATCAGGAAGATGCTTCTCTGCAGTTACCAAAGGGTGTGCAGGGTTTCCCTCTCCTAAAATCTCTGTTTTTGGGGCCATCCACTCAGTTCTACCACTCACAGCACAACAGGCTCTCGTTAAAATACCTGGAAGACTTAAAACTTTCCATCACTCAGACTCTGCCTCAGCGGGAGATGCTGTCACCATGTTGGGGGACAGAACAAGCAGTTCTGACGATAGGAGAAAGGAGCTAGAATACAGAGAAGAGCTGTCTATCAAATGGCACCTCAAGGAACGGACAAGAGGTGGAGGGTTCAGAGAGGCCACCATTCCCCCTACCAATTTTAGTGCAGTAAGACTTAATACGGTGGGACAAGGGATGGGAAGGGGAGGAGAAGCATGACAGATGGCTAGCATTTAGTCTAATTCTACTGCTGATCATCATAGCCTGTGAGAGTAACAGATACCTGGGTAAAACTAATAAAGCAACCGGATTTTCACCCCACCCCCGCCGCCCCTGTTCCTCTTTTCAGCTAATTTGTAAAAAAAAACACCAAAAAACAAAAAACAACAACAACAAGCAAAAGACATTAGGTAACAAGGACATACAATATATTTGGAGAAACAGGCCTCCTGATGTAAGAATTCACACTCTCAGAACACCAAGGAGATGTGTATCCAAGAAAGCAAGCTGTAGAATTTTATGGGGAAAATGTGAATATAAAGATTCTTTGGCCTTTATCCAGCTTCAAAGTAACAAGGCTCAGACCACAGGCCTGACTACCTGAATATAATATTCTTTGCTAAGAGTAGATAATCCACTCCAGAGAAAGCTCTGACAGTAAAAGGATAAAGAGTAACTAAGAGACTACTACAATAATTAGAATTTCAAAGGGAGAGGATAACAAGTAAAAACTCACATTTAAACCTACTGGCCCAAGTGAAGTTGGCTGATAAAACCATTTGCTACCAAAATTTCTTTTGTTTGCACCAGAACTTAAGCCATCCTCCCCCTACCATTTCCATTTATAGCTCTTCTTTCATCTGCTATAATATAAAATCTAAGTATACTTTAGTTTGCATTTAGTAAATAAAGCTTATTTTCTCCGCTACCCCATCATTTAGTTCCTCCTAAATTCTACCTTCTTGTTAATGCACTTTAATTACAAAAGAAATGCATACTTATTGTAATTAGAAGACACAGAAAAGTAGGTTGAAACACTAAAATCACTTGAAGTCCTGGATATAAATATTAAAACATTTTGATGCAAATCGTTACAGATTTTATCCAATGTGATCACACATGTGTGTGCACAGGCATGCGTACACATATACTAGTACACATTCATTCCTCTACCAGGGAACTTGCAGCTTTTGAACATTCCCAGTTACAAGCCATGGCTCTTCAGAGTGGTGTCCACTCCACCTACCGCCGACAGATGGCGATAATGGTTGATAAGTTATTTTAACATTGGTCATTCCAGTGGTAAATTCATTTAAGGCACCATGGACTCATCTGCAGTGTTTGTGTTAGTTTTAGAATATTGTAGGAACATTATTAAACCTGAAAAAGCATGTGTGTAGGAAACAACAGTAAGAAGTAGATACTTATAATGTAAAACAAAAAAAGATTTTAAGACTGAAAGAGGGTAGGATACTGCTCATGGTTTTGTTTGTTTTAATAGCTGAACTGTCTCTGAAGGACACAGAGGAACTCACTCATCCTGTGACAGATGCTGTGCCCGTGCAAATGGACAACACAAGAAAGAGAGATGGGGGACAGAAATGAGAAAAACACACACAAAACTTCTGAGTGTGTGGCTCTCAGATGAGCATCAACATTGGAAAGCCCATGCGTGACATAGTGCAGTGGTCGGCAAACTGCGGCTCGGGAGCCATATGCGGCTCTTTGGCCCCTTGAGTGTGGCTCTTCCACAAAATACCGACTTCTGCGCATGGGCCATGAAGTTTCGATCGCACTGTACATGCGCGCCCGCACGTGGTATTTTGTGGAAGAGCCACACTCAAGGGGCCAAAGAGCCGCATGTGCTCGTGAGCCGCAGTTTGCTGACCACTGACCTAGTGAGTTAATTCAGGGGAATAGTAAGAGCAACAGCTTACACTTATACAGCTTTTATTTGATATCAAGCACTGCTCTAAGTGACTTAGATCATCTATTTAAAACTTCACAACAGTCTTTTGAGTAGGTACAGTATGACTCCCACTATGTAGATGTGAAACTGAGTGAATATGGACCCACTAAAGCAGCAAAGATGGGAGGCAGGAAGTCTGCTTTGGCCAAAATGTTGACTGACATTTGTAGAAACTTTTGTCACCAAACACAGATGCGTCCAAAGTTTCAAAGTAATTCCCATCTTGAATTTGCTGCACATTTCCAAACCAGTGAAGGGATGAGGGCAGACTCGAGCTGCTACAGTCTCCAAGACAGATGGTGATACCATTCAGAAAGGAGTCACCTGACTTTCTGGGTAGACCACTGTTCTATGTGGAATAAGAAACCCACCAACAGAACATATCAACAGTATCGGGGAGGAGGCGGCACAAATGCCTTTAAAGCTTACAAGGAGTAACCCATGGTAGGAATGGATTTGGGAACTGAAAGCCAAAACTCTTCTTGTTATTTTAGACTTGTTGGGGGGAAAAACACACACACACATACATATACACCCACACAAAAATGATACTGTATATGTAATTTTCTAACTTGCTTTCTCTGCTGCTTTATTTTTTAAATGGCCTCCCAGGAAAAGGGGATCTCCTAAAATTTGCTTTAGCTCTTCTAACAGTGGTTGAATTGGGGAAGGAAAGGAAATATAAATTACTTATATTTGTTTTGCTGATAGAAAAGTTTGTTGGAGAAATAAAAATGGAAAAGTAGAAAAGTCATTTATCCTTGTATTCTGAAACCTCACTACCTTGAATAATTTTGCTGGATACATTTACTTCATTTACTTGGAATAGGAAGTGGTAAGCATTTGAAGATGAGATACAAGACATGTAGATTTTAAAATTAGGCAATCAATACCAAAAAGATTTTCTAAAGCTTTCTTTTTGACCCTGGAGATTTTTCAATGTTTCTAGAAGACTAAATATTAAAGATATCCCACTTTTCATTCCAGTAGTTTTGGCTTAACTCTCCCATTTGATAACTGCCCATCCCACTTGTGTTGAACAGCTGGGTGTGTCTGAATCAGTGATTCCTGGTCCCTGGGATGGAATAGGAAGTGACATCTTATGCAGCTGGAACGGGAGCCAGGATTTGAAGGAGGAAAATGCCTGGCAGGAAAAGCTGCCACAGCCCTAAAAGTCAAAAGCAAACCTGGTGCTGAAGGTCAATGAAACACAGGAAACACAAGTATAGTCAAGAAAGAGACCAGACCAAGAATTCAACCCACACATATTTATAGCACATTTCCAGTATGCCCTTCACCACACAGGCCTATGAAATATATATAAGATACCATTCCTGCCATCAAGGGGGACAATCTTTGGGAGAATGTAAGGCATTTTTAATATTAAAAAAAATAACTAAGACTATTGTGATCTTGTATGGTGAATGCCAAAGAAAGAGGGCAGAAACATAGGATAAAGGTCAAGTTCAGCAAGAAAGACTTTGGGGAAAGCAGAAATTCAGGTGAGCTATGGAGGACAATATTAGTAAACAGAAGAATCCAATGCCACCTGTGTGTGGGAGGCAGTGCAAGCTGAGACTGAAAAGGTCCTTACAGGACTTGGGCTCCAAGAAAAGGAGTTAGGGAACAGAATGTGTCAGAGGTTTTGCAACTGCAGAATGATATGACAAAAGCAAGATTTTAGTAAGATTAATGAAAATCTTATGGCTAGAATTAGCAGAGAGAGATGTCACATTTTATGTTATTGTTATTTCTTTGATCTTTGACTCAAGCAATGACACTCAAGTTCAATAAATTATAATGAAGAAGAGCTAGAAGACGAA